CAAATTGGACCAAATAGTCTGTTTCTGTGCTGTTGACTCTGACTCTGTGACCATGTAAACCTCATCCATTGATTCCCCTTGTCAAATCTACAGGTTACATCCTTAAAAAATTCCAGCGGTTTTGTCAAACATGATTTCCCTTTCATAAATCTATACTGACCCTTCTGATTCTGTCACTGTTCTCCAAATGCCCTGCTTTTGATTTGATTTGATTTTTTGTAGTCAGGTGTATCTAAGTACAGTGAAAAGTTTCGTTTTGCGAGCAGTACAGGCAGATCATAGCAAACAAAGACAAACAGGTCATAGGGTGCTTGGACAGAACGTGGCATACAGGTTACACTGCACAGGAGGCGCACAAAGCAAGATCAACATTGTAACTTCAAACAGAGTCCATTCAGCCATCTAATACTGGCAGGGAAGAAGCTATTTTTGAACCTGTTGGTGAATGTGTTCAAGCTTCTGTATCTTCTGCCTGATGGATGAGATTGGAAGAGAGCATTCCTGGGTGGGAGGGATCTTTGATGATGTTGGCTGCCTTTCCACAGCAACGAGAAGTGTAAATGGAGTCCATGGATGGGAGGTTGGCTTCCGTGATGGTCTGGGATGTGCACACAACCTTCTGTCATTTCTTCTGTCCTGGACAAAGCAATTGCCATACTAGGCCGTTATGCATATGGATAGTATGCTTTCAATGGTGCATCTGTAGATGTTGGTGAGGGTCCTTATGGCCATGCTGAATTTCCTGAGTCGCCTGAGGAAGAAGAGGCATTGTTGTGCCTTCTTGATCGTTGCATCTATGTGGAAAGTCCAGGGCAGGTTGTCAGTTATCGTTACTCCTAGGAACTTGATGCTCTCAACCCTCTCAACCTCTGCTCTGTTCATGTAGATAGGGGTGTGTTCTCCTCCTTTCTTCCTGAAGTCAATGATTAGGTCTTTTGTTTTGCCGACATTGAGAGAGAGGTTGTTATCCCACCATGACACCAAGTCCTCTATCTCCTTTCTGTATTCTGAGTCATCGTTGTTTGATATCCGTCCTACTATGGTGCTGTCATCAGCAAACTTGTAGACAGCACTCATTCGGAATTTGGCAACACAGTTGTGGGTGTACAGAGAGTATAGTAGGGGGCTGAGGATGCATCCTTGGGGGTCTCCAGTGTTGAGTGTTATTGTGAAGAAGGTGCAGTAGTGTATCTTCGCTGATTTCTGTCTGTGGGTCAGGAAGCTAAGGATCCAGTTACAGAGGGCGGAGCTGAGACCTAGATCTCAGAGTTTTGAGATTAATCTGGAGGGGATTATGGTGTTGCAGGCGGAGCTATAGTCAATGAGTAAGAGTCTGACATAGGCATCCTTGTTGTCAAGATGTTCCAGGGATGAGTGCAGGGCTAGGGAAATGTCCGCTGTGGACCTGTTACATCGGTAGGCAATCAAGGCAGGCTGGGAGGCTAGAGCGCATGTGGGCCATGACCAGCCTCTCGAAACACTTCATGACTTCCAAGGTCAGAGCCACTGAGTGATAGTCATTAAGGCACATTGCATGCATTTTCTTTGGTACTGAGTGATGGTGGTCTTCTTGAAGCTGGGGGGACTTCGGCTTGTAGGGGGAAAAGGTTGAAGATGTCAGCGAATACCTCCGCCAGCTAGTCCACACAGGATCTATGTGCTCGTCTGGGGACTCCTTTTGGGCCCATCACTTTCCTTGGGTTGACACTGAGGAAGACCAATCTGACATGTGCAGCATTGACAGAGGGAACAGGTGCGTCCGGGGCTGTTGGGGGGCAGGTGACACTGCACCACTGGCATTGTGCTCGAACTGAGCATAGAAAGCACTGAACACATCAAGGAGGGTTGTGTTTTTGTCTGCTATCTTGCTCTGCTTCATTTTAAACCTTTTATCCTTGACTCTAGCATTTTCTGCACTGCTGATATCAGGCTAACTCAACTATAATTACCTGTTTTCTCCCTACCTCTTTTTATTTAAATTGTGGGGTAAGCAAGGAAGGGCCTGTCAAGTAGGAGGAAATAAAGGATAAGCATGAAGGGACCTAACAGTTATTCATGGAACTGGACCAATTCTTGAGAAAATGCTGGGGCTGTTTTGGTGGATGGCAGCCCTGACCGCTGCCTGCCCTGGCTCACTGGGGTGAAAATTAGATGTGTGAAGTTTTACTCAGAACTCTGGAAATGGCTGAAGTAGTCATTCCTAAATTAATAATGAAAATCAGACCACTGGACTCTATCAGCATATTGTTGCCCAGTCACCTGTACAAATAAACGTGCTGAGAGAAAACACACTAACCATGTTCATTGGTGTCCATAAGACTATAAGACTTAGGAGCAGCAGTAGGTCATTCAGTTCATTGAATCTGGTCCACCATTCAAGGAGATTATAACTGATCTGATAATCTTCAACTCCGCTTTCCTGCCTAACCCTTGATTCCAGTACTGATTTAAAATCTATCCCAGCTTGTGCATATTTAACAATCCAGCCTCTACAATACTTTGCAGTAAAAAGAAATCCACATATTCACTACCCTCTGAGAGAAGATATTCCTCCTCATCTCTGTTTTCAATGGGTGATCCCTACTCTGAGATTATGTCCTCTGGCTCTCAACTCACCCACAAGGGAACTAAGCTCTCTGTCAATTCCCCTAAGAATCTTGTACGATTCAATAAGGTTGCCTCTCATTCTTCTAAATTCCAATATGTACAAGGCCAATCTACTCAACCTCTCCTCATAAGACAGGCCCTCCATTAATGGGGTCAACCTAGTAAACATTCTCTGGACCAGCTGTCATGCCAGTATATCGTTCCTTAGTTATGGGGGCCAAAACTGTTCACAGTATTCCAGCTGGTCTAAGTAGTGTCTTCTTTAGATTTAGCAAGACCTTCCTATATATCAACTTGTTCCTTTTGTAAAAATGGCCAACATTCCACTTGCCTTTCCTTTTACCCACTGAACTTGAATGCTAACCTTTTATAATTTAGCAGAGGGACTTCCAAATCCATCTGTGCTATATCTTCCTACATTTTTCTTCACTTAAATAATGCTTTTCTATTCTTCTTGCCAAAGTGCAACCTCACATTTTTCCCACATTATATTCCGTTTACTAAGTTTTTGCCACTCGTTTAACCTATGTCAACTGAAATAGAGAAATTATCACCCACAAACCATTTACAGTTTAAAGTAAAATCAAACAGAAATGAAGTGGAGGTGCCGCTGTTGGACTGGGGTGGACAAAGTCAGAAATCACACAACACCAGGTTATAGTCCAACAGGTTTATTTGAAAACACAAGCTTTCAGAACCTCATTCCTTCTTCAGGTGTTCAGAAACGAAAGCTGAAATCATCCAACCTATTAAAGCTGTGACAATTTTCTGAGACAGCTAAACAATTAAGAGGTCTCAAAGATCAAAATGCAACATCAGATCTCAATTTCAGGCAAAATGGCCGCAAAGAACAAAGAACAAAGAACAAAGAAAATTACAGCACAGGAACAGGCCCTTCGGCCCTCCAAGCCTGCGCCGATCCAGGTCCTCTATCTAAACCTGTCACCTATTTTCCAAGGATCTGAATCCCTCTGCTCCCTGCCCATTCATGTATCTGTCTAGATACATCTTAAATAATGCTATCGTGTCTGCCTCTACCACCCCCGCTGGCAACGAGCTCCAGGCACTCACCACCCTCTGCATAAAGAACCTTCCACGCATATCTCCCTTAAACTTTTCCCCTCTCATCTTGAAATCGTGATCCCTAGTAATTGAGTCCCCCACTCTGGGAAAAAGCTTCTTGCTATCCGCCCTGTCTGTACCTCTCATGATTTTGTAGACCTCAATTAGGTCCCCCCTCAATCTCTGTCTTTCTAATGTAAATAATCGTAATCTACTCAATCTCTCCTCATAGCTAGCACCCTCCATATCCGCAACATCCTGGTGAACCTCCTCTGCACCCTCTCCAAAGCATCCATATCCTTTTGGTCATGTGGCGACCAGAACTGCACGCAGTATTGCAAATGTGGTCAAACCAAAATCCTATACAACTGTAACACGACCTGCCAACTCTTGTACTCAATGCCTTGTCCGCTGAATGAAAGCATACCGTATGCCTTCTTGACCACTCTATCCACCTGCGTTGCCACCTTCAGGGTACAATGGACTTGAACACCCAGATCTCTCTGTGCATCAATTTTCCCCAGGGCTTTTCCATTTACCGTATAGTTCGCTCTTGAATTGGATCTTCCAAAATGCATCACCTCACATTTGCCTGGATTGAACTCCACATCTGCCATTTCTCCGCCCAACTTCCAATCTATCTATATTCTGCTGCATTCTCCGACAGTCCCCTTCACTATCTGCTGCTCCACCAATCTTAGTGTCATCTGCAAACTTGCTAATCAGACCATCTATACCTTCCTCCAGATCATTTATGTATATCACAAACAACAGTGGTCCCAACACGGATCCCTGTCGAACACCACTGGTCACAGTTCTCCATTTTGAGAAACTCCCTTCCACTACAACCCTCTGTCTCCTGTTGCCCAGCCAGTTCTCTATCCATCTAGCTAGTATACCCTGGACCCCATGTGACTTCACTTTCTCCATCAGCCTACCATGGGGAACCTTATCAAACGCCTTACTGAAGTCCATGTATATGACATCTACAGCCCTTCCCTCATCTATCAACTTTGTCACTTCCTCAAAGATTTCTATCAAGTTGGTAAGACATGACCTTCCCTGCACAAAACCATGCTGCCTATCACTAATAAGCCCATTTTCTTCCAAATGTAAATAGATCCTATCCCTCAGTATCTTCTCCAGCAGCTTCCCCACCACTGACATCAGGCTCACCGGTCAATAATTACCTGGATTATTTGGTCACCTTTTCTTCCATGAAAATATTCCAAAAATATTTGGCTATTTTTCAATGATTCCAAAGATACTGCAAACACTTTTAGAGACAGAAAATGGTGTCAGTAAATGCTTCATTAACAACATACACTCACCATTCTTGGTGTTTCGTTGGTAAAAGTGATGGTATCTTGTCACCCGGTCTGTACACCGATCCATTCAAATAGCATGGGCACTCCAAACTGCAAGAAATAAGAAATGGAAGTTTAAAACTTTAACCTGTAAGGAGAATAATAAACGACAGGGAGAAGTTCAGATATTGCAGTTATATGGTTCATTTATTCCTCTGATAGTAACACTAATGAACTTCACAAGGCTTTCATTAATCTGTACCAATACTGCTCTTATGTGCAGCACTTTAGAAATATAGGAACATAGTTAGATATGAAAATATCAATTAGGGCAGGAATAAGCCATTCAGTCCTTCAGGTCTATTCTGTCATTTGATAAGGATGTCATAATTGAGGATGGGAATGTTTGTGGAGCCTCCCTTTCAGCAAGTTGTTTAATTCTCCACCACCATTCATGATCAAATGTGGCAGGACTGTAAAGTTTAATTGAGATGTGTTTGAATCATTTGGCCCTATCTATTGCATGCTGCTTCCCTTGTTTGCCATATGAGTAGTCCTATATTGTAACTTCCTCAGGATGACACCTCATTACATATGTTGGTGCTGTTTCTGGCATACCCTCCTGCACACTTCATTAAACCCAGCCTGATCCTTTGGCTTCACGGTAATGGTACAATGAGAGTTTTTTTTTAATTTCATTCATGGAATGTGGGTGTTGGTGTTTTGGCCAGACTTTTTTGTTCATCCCTTATTGCCCTGGCTATGGCCAGCTGCAAGGTTACAGATTATAGTAGAATAAAATTTCACAACTGCGATGATTGACAGCATGTCATGGATGACCCATCTTGAGTTGGTAGATCTGTTAAAAATGTCTCTAATGTCGCAGATTTGTTTATACTAGCACACCACAATGGAGGTATCTTCAATATAAAGGTGGCACTTCATCTCCACATTGCTGTGATATATTCAATCCTCCTGATGCTGTCATCAATAGATGTATCTTCTTTCTATAGCTCAGTGACGGCAAGGTGAAGTACGGTTTTTTGCTTTCTGGTTGGTCCCTCACCACATGCTGCAGACCCAGTCTAGCAGCTATATCTTTTAGACATCATCCGGCTAAGTAAGTACAAGTTTCCTGCATACAGTACATTCTGTTTCCTTACCACCCTCAGTGCTTAAACATCCTGTGTTCAATATGGAGAAGCAGTGATTCATCGTTTAAAAGGATGGTGCAAACAAAGAGTAAGTGGCAATCAGCAGGAGGCTTTCTGGCATATGTCTGCCCTGATGTCATGAGACCACAGAGTCTGGAGCCAGGCTAGCTTTCACCAACTGTGTACTTTTCTGTCACAATCCCGGGTGGTAATAGCTGGGACATTGTCAGTAAGGTAGGATTCCAAGAGAATGATCATATAAGACATTTCTTGATTAGTTTGTTGCACAGCTCTTGCAATTTTGGCATAGGCCCCAGATGTTTGTAAGGAGGACTTTGCAGGTTAGCTGTGTTTGTCATTTTTGTTTAAGATGCCTTGGATTTTTACCGAACTTTGTAACAACTAGATACAACTGAATGACCTGGATGTCATTTCAGAGGGTATTTAAGAGTCAACTACATTGCTGTGAATCTGGGAACTCCTGTAGGCCAGACCAGGTATGGATGGCAGATTTTCCTTCGGAAAGGATATTTGTGAGCTAGATGAATTTTTTAATGACAGTTGACAATGGCATTGTGGTCACTGTTCGATTTGTTTTTCAGTTTCAGATTTATTAACTGAATTCAAATTTCATCATCTGCCGTGATGGCATTCAGATCCATGTACCATGAGCATCAGCCTTCGTCTCTTATCCAGTTTCAATATCCCAATGTTACTGTCTTCTCACATATATAGGAATGCACTCCCTTGCCCTGGTCAAAATCCTGAATCTCCCTTCCTTTCAGCACTATAAGTGTATCTACACCTCATGGACAGCAGTGGTTTAATACTGCAGTTCACCATGTAACTGTTGAGCATTGGTGGTGCAGGGAATGAAGGTTTATGATGTGGTGCCTGTCAAGTGGGCTTCTCAAAAGCAATCAGGGATAGGCAGTAAATGCTGGCTCAGCTAGGGATGCATCCATGAACAAATATATTAAAAAAAAATTACAAATCAAGAAAGTCACATGAAAAGGATTTGCTTAACTACTTAGGACCAGAAAGTTTTATTTCCACAAGACTCTGATCCACTCTAAAGGTAAGAAAATTTTCTTACATGTTAGCAACACATTTATTATCATGAGGATTGAAGTACATGTCCTTAGGACATTGGCATCCTTCCAAAAAGCCTGATGATGGAAGATAGAGACAGCTATTTCTTGTACTGATATAGTAACAGTTCCGTTTGCATGTTTGGTTGGTTAAGGTATACACCATGTTCCCAGCGCAATTCATTGCTGCATGACAAATGGAAAAACAGGAAGGAAGAATTAGTTACAAGACTGATAATTTATAAGACCATAAGACATAAGACATAGGAGCAGAAATTAGGCCATTCAGCCTGTTCATACAAATTGGTCCACCTGTCCCTACCTACAACAGGACTACATTTACCTTTTCTAATTTTTTTCTTTTCACATATCAATAGGAGCTTTAAAATAAATAATTGAATTATTTAAACTTAAACAAACCCAGTCAACAGCTGCAATGGAAAGTAAACTTTTCAGGGAAACAAACTATATTATATGTGGGTTCTCCCTTATGCAACTCATTGCAAACAATATTGTGACAACAGACAGAGAAAATACTTACTGCATTCAGGAACTGAGGCTCGAAAGTCAATGAAAGCACCATATAGAAGACAAACATGAGCATAGTTAGCTAGAGCTGTGCATAGACAGGTTTCAGAATGTGAACAGCTACAAACATCACGTACGCACTGATCATAGAACGGTTCTGGATTGATGAAATGACAGTTCTTAAATATATGGTTTTTGATGATGCTGCATTTTTCTTTTGCATATGATTCTGTAACACAGAAAGAAAAACACATGTGGTTTATTGTCCGTGCATTGAGTTCAACCATGTCCAAAACTTCAGAATGCATATTATGATACAAGTTGCAGCATTACCTTATCACAGCTCACAATAACAAAACACCAAACTCCATCCTTGAATTCATACTCTATAGAAATCTTATAGATTAAAACAATTTTCGTCATTGCAATTGTCTTTAATTTGAACATTAACATTAGCTTTCTGTTGTGCTACGGTTTCATTTGAAACGTTAATGTTGATATCATGTCTCATTGCTGTTGTCCAGTTTCTCATGTTTAAAATTAGTAAGTTTTTTTTGTTTTTATCCTTTCTCCCCAGTTATCATTCCTAAGCTAGAACAGTGCTGGATTTACGTTCTCCAATTCCATATACATATTGACTGATATGCAAACTGCATGACCATCAGTAACTTTTGTAGAACATTCCCAGCCCCAAATGACATACACAACAGCAAGTCAGTTGGAAAAAGAGATTGAGAATGGATAAATGAGATTCTCCATGTCATTAAAATAAGTTTCATTATCCCCCTAGGGTTTTAACAGCTCAATGAGAATGTCGCTAGTGAGTGGCGAGGGGCCTAATCACATAGTTTAACACATGATTATTACTTAATCTTATTTTTACTCATTCACAGGATGAGGGTATTGCTGGCTAGGCCAGCATTTATTGCCCATCCTTAATTGCCCAGAGGGCAGTTCAGAGCCAATCACATTGCTGTGGGTCTGGAGTCACATGTAGGTCAGGCCAGGTAAGGAAGGCAGTTTCCTTCCCTAAAGGACAGTACTGATCCAGATGGGTTTTCCAACATTGACAATGGATTCATGGTCATCGTTAGACTCTTAATTCCAGATTTTTATTGAATTCATATTCCACCATCTGTGATGGTGAGATTTGAACCAAGGTCCCCAGAAAATTACCTGGCTCGCTGGATTAACAGTCCAGTGATAATATCACTAGGCCATCACTTCATTTGTATGCTGTTATGTCATTTTCCACGGTGTGGAGAGAAACTAGACAGTGATAATTCCTGATTTGAAAGTCTGAATGGGTACCTGGTGATTGCTGGGATCTTCTCTGGGGCTCCACTTTGCCGAGCATTCCCCAACATCTCAGGGCATACTAAGGGCAGTGGCTGCCTGCACTACTGTCCATGGAGGTTGGCATCGTCAGAACACCAGCTTCGTCATGGTGCATTTGGGACTCAATTATCATATAGTTCACACCACAAAACTGCACTGACACCTTACCTTGCAAAGCTGGTAAGGCAAACATCTTGTACATTGGAACACAATGCATCTCAGGATTTTTAGCTGTCTTTCTTAGCACTCACTCAATTTGTGCCAACTTCGATATTCTTAGAATTTCTGCCTTGCCTTGACTTGCTACTGTAGATACCTTGGCAGCTTGTTGTGTTTGGCGCCCTGTGTTCCTAACCTTCCATTCCTTTATGGAGATAACAGCCCTTAAGTCTTCTAGGTAAATAAACGGCTGAAATTAAGAACTCAGCATGTTACAGAGAAATGGTGCAGATGTGCTTCACCTGACAGACCCAAATGTACTGTTGTTCACATATTCATACATTTTAAATAATTTGATACAATATCTGTGTTTATGTGTTCATGCCAACTTGGAGATTTACTGAGCATAATCTTACCACCTTTGATAATATTCTTCCATCAGCACTGGAATTAAGGCTCATATAGTGACGTGTACTGAGAATTGGTTAATACATGAAAAAGAGTAGGAATAAATGGG